TCACCGCTTCTGGAGGCAGGTGGTTCCACAGGTTAATTGTTCTCACTGTCAGGAAATTTCTCCTTAGTTCCAGGTTGCTTCTCTCCTTGGTTAGTTTCCATCCGTCGCTTCTTGTCCTGCCTTCATGTGCTTTGGAGGATAGGTTGACCCTCCCCTTCTTTCCTATCCTCTCAGCCCTGGTCCTTCCCTTTGTTAAATGGCCCATACCCAGTTCCAGCTCCTTATGGTCTAGCCTCCTGCCCCCTCGTTTGATTGTTATATTTGTTATATATGGTTTTATTGGTTATATTTTGTTATTTGTTATAGAAATAGTTTCATATTGTACATATTGTTGATATTGGAATAAAAACATTTGAAATATTTCTCTCGCCCCTCTTTTGTCACAGAACACACAACCTATTCACATCTTTGTCCTCTTAGCATTTGTCTTCAAAAAATGTGCAGGTGCCCCTTTTCGAGTGTTACTAGGGGGTGGAAACCATCCCAACATCTTTTGCCAAGGAAGGGTCTTCCACGGATCAGAGATCTCGGCCGTCACCACAATTGTGTTCTCCCATTGTGGGTCTGTTGTGCAACCCAGCCTCAAGCAGGTGCAATCTCTGCCTCAAGGGAAGAAGAGGCCCCGGGACAGCCTCAGTTCGGAGTTAAATTCCCTATTCTCTGAAGAAACGGCTTCTTTTGCAGGCCGGGCCTTCTGAGGAGGCCGTGATGCTCAGTGTGGTGTGTGGTTTGTCTAGGGTGGCTCTCTGCACACCACACTCTGCTATTCCCAAGGCGGCTGTCATTCTCAACCTGTATTTGGCTGAATATAACCTTGATTTGGCCCCATCATCATTTCATTGTGTAGAGCATGGATGTGCAAGCTTGGCAACTTTAAGACTTGGGGACTTCAACTCCCAGAATGCCCTGGATGGGGAATCCTGGGAGTTGGAGTCAAGAAGCCTTAAATTTGCCAAGGTTGGGAGACCCTGTTCTTAGGCCCCATCTAATTCTTCTTTTCTTTGCCCTAATTGATTTTCTCTGTTCCGATGCTTGTCTCCTAGGCTGATGGAGCACCTGCTTGCTTCGTAGTAGTCCTCCTTTAAGCCGTTAAGAATTCCTGCTTCTGAGGCATGTTGGTTGGAAAGATGTATGCTGAACAAGCATTTAACTTCTGGGTTTTTATTTATTTATTTAATTATTTTAAAAAACTCAGAGCATAGAGAACCATTTACCTACTTCAAAATCACAAAACGTTTCCTTAACGGTGGTGACAAAAGAAGACGTAAAAGTGAGTCGGTCATGCGGATGGCCTGATTTACGAGCTGTGCTGGGTAAGGCTCCATTATGGTCGTAAGTCAAGGACTCCTGTGAGTCTGCTCTTGCCCCTTGGTCTTCCTTTATAGCACCTGGTGAAAAGCATCTTTCAAACCGGAGAAGGCTTCGGGTCCAAGGCAGAGGGAAAAACCTAAGGGGAGCATCACGTCCATGGAGGTCCTCAGTCATCTGGGTCACGGCTGCCCCAACGGTTCTTTTTCAGGAGCCCCCTGGACTTTCCTGTTTTTCCTTTGAAGACGTTTTGCTTCTCCTCCAAGGAGCTTCTTCAGCTCTGACTGGGTGGTGGGGAAGGGAAGGATTTATACTCCTTGCAGACAGCTGGTCATTTGCATCCTTTTGGAGAGTCGTTAAGGCCACTTGGAGGTTTATCTGTGTCCTCAGGGTCACCTGAGTTGTGCAAATGGATGTGGAGCCTTCTTGGAACTGCTGTAAGGACCATGTTGTGGAGTTGTACTTCCTGCAGGATGTTTTTCTGCCTGGGTCCCTTCACTGTGGAAAACAGGCGCAGGCTGTTGGGGATGTGTCTGTGTTGTCTGCCTCTCACACTGAAACGCAAATGGTTCCTAGAATCTGCAATGTTTTCTGGAAATCCGTTCATCCTCCCGCACCATCCGAAGGGAGTTCATCCCAAAGTGCAGAGCTAAATGTCCATGGAGATGCTCCATCATCCAGGTCATAAGATAGAGATAGAGATAGAGATAGAGATAGAGATAGAGATAGAGATAGAGATAGAGATAGAGATAGAGAGTCATTATTGTTATCCGAAACTGGATTTGTATGAAACCTCAATAAAAGGGGTGTCTAACCCTGGGCAACTTTAAGATCTGTGGACTTCAACACCCAGAATTCCCCAACCAGCCCTATCATACCATTTCATGATAATCACTTCAAAAGTTTAGAACGGGGGGGGGGGTTTCCAGTCTCGGCAACGTTAAGATCCATGAAGTCCACAAGTCTTAAAGTTTCCAAGGTGGGACACCCCTGTTCTATACCTTCAAGCGATATCATGAAATTGTGGGAAGTCAGCCCCCCACACACAGAGAAAGGGAAATATTTTGGGGGATATTAAAAAGGCAGAATATTATATTTCCCCAAAGGAAAGCAGGCCCAGGTTTTCTTAATAGCCCCAAACAGAAACTCAGCAGGCCAGCTCTGTAGAAATGCAGATGTGATAATCCCATTGAGGAAGTCTGAGGCCCCATTCATGAGCAAATACTGCCTGCATAAACCCACTCAAGACAGGGTCTTTCGAAATCCCTTGGAGCAAAATTGATAGCTAACAATAGCAGAGTGGTAGGATTAGAACCAGCATCCCCTCACCCAAAAAATACAACATAGGAAGTAAGCCATCAGCCCCAGGGAAACAGGACATGACCTTTAAGACATAATAGGATTAACCCACCACCATCAGAATTCCAAAAGAGCACACTGAGCCCCAGGTCAAAGTTCATGCCACAGGAACAGGAACAACTCCAAAGACAAAAGCCCAAGAATGTATAAAAATCCACCACTCCCAGCATCATATGGTCAGCCACCCCAGAAACATGCTGCTATCACTGAAAAGTTTCTGGCAACTCAATAAACAAAAAACCTTCTTTCTTAAAGCAGTCTCCATTTTGTTTATTCCTGGCTTGGACTGGACCCTGATGAAGGTTTTTCTTTCAACAAAATCATATACCTTTAAATCTTTACATGCTTTTTAACAGCCCAGAAGCCTCAAACATTCTGAATTCTCTCAGAAAACGTGCCAGCATTTATACTACCATGGTGCCCACTCAACTCACACACATTGTAAAAAAGTCAAGTGCCAGGCTAGATAGCATTGCGTAAAAGCATTTATTGGTTTTAGCATATATATATTTCTGGTTCTCCAGAAGCTTCCAATTCCGCAGTTAGCTTTTTTGTTCTGCTTCTCAAACGGTCCTCTTGTCTGGTTATGGAATGGGATAGGAAGCCACGTTGGTGATGCCGCATTGATTGGATCCTTGTTCCAAGAGCATGTATCCGTTGTCCCCCCAATAGCGAGACCAACTGCGAAGGGAAGCATGAAAGAGATTTATTACAAAACCATGCAGGGAAGGGCCTGTTGGGAACCGGTTCACGGGGCTAGAAAGGTTGGGGACTGCTGCAATAGGGAATCATGCTGGCTGTGGAATTCTGGAAGTTGTAGTCCATGTGTCTTCAAGTGGCCAAGATTGAGACACTCTGGAATGGAGTGGAGTGGAGTGCAGTGGCATGGAATAGACTAGAGTAGAGTAGAGTAGAGTAGAGTAGAGTAGAATAGAATAGAATAGAATAGAATAGAATAGAATAGAATAGAATAGAATAGAATAGAGCAGAGTTGGAAGGGACCTTGGAGGTCATCTAATCCAACCCCTGCTCGGGCAGGAAACCCATTTCAGACAAATGGCTGTCCAGTCTCTTCTTAAAAATTTCCAGTGTTGGAGCACCCACAACTCCTGGAGGCAAGTTGTTCCACTGGTTAATTGTTCTCACTGTCAGGAAATTTCTCCTTAGTTCTACGTTGCTTCTCTCCTTGATGAGTTTCCATCTATGGCTTCTTGTCCTGCCTTCAGGTGCTTTGGAGAACAGCTTGACCCCCTCTTCTTTGTGGCAACCCCTGAGATATTGGGGGGCTGCTATCCTGTCCCCCCTCGTCCTTCTCTTCATTAAACTAGACATACCCAATTCCAGCAACCGTTCTTTTTATGTTTTAGCCTCCCCTGATCCTCTTTGTTGCTCTTCTCTGCACTCTTTCTAGTGGCCAAGATTGTAACACTCTAGAATAGTAGAGGTTGCCCTCTAGTTACCCCCCTGCCAGCATGCCCTTCCCTTCACTCACCTGTTCTTCACAATCCAGTACTTGGTGCTGTTGTATCCGACCACCAGCATAGCATGAACCAAGTGGGGGTCTCCACGCCAGGGGTTTTTAAAGATACCTAGAGAAAGAGGAGGAGAAATCATATGGTAAAGCGAAAGCTCCGTGCTTTACCATATGATTTTGAAATAATAGGAAATACTTGTAGCTTGGGGTTTTAGATTTTGGCTGTGGTTTGTTTCTCCAAGCTTCTTTTAATATAATTCCTGAACGTTTCGTTAGCAAACGAGATAACTCCATCAGCAGGAGCTGCAAGTATTTCCATGATATGGGCGTAAATTTATGGAGGCCTGATATTCCACCAAAGGAGCAGTTAACATTGATCTGGATCAGGGGTAGGCAACCTTGGCTCTTTTATGACTCGTGGACTTCAACTCCCAGAATTCCTGAGCCAGCCATGCTGAGGGGAAAAGGAGAGGTTTCCATGCTGGCTCAGGAATTCTGGGAGTTGAAGTCCAAGAGTCATAAAACAAAAAAGGTTGCCTAACCCTGATCTAGGTCTATATCTATCTATCTATCTATCTATCTATCTATCTATCTATCTATCTATCTATCTATCTATCTATCTATCTATCTATCTATCTATCTA